ACATGTTATTTTCAAGAGCTGATTTAGATTTAGATCTATATATCCAAAAACAGTTGGCTGGGGTTGTAGCTATTGAAGTTTGTGGAGGACCCAAAATCCCTTTTCGTCCAGGACGACAGGTTAATTCAAGAAGTTCTAGATTTGTTTTCTCTAAATATTTTATATATTGAATGTGCTCTTAATTTCTCTTTTTAATATCTTAGGACAATCCTCATCCACCGCAACTAAGTCGAATTCCCAATTCTAAGATGGGTTAGTTCACTTAGCCTGCTTGTTGATTCTTTTTTCACATATTTAGTGTCTGAAATGAATTGGAAAAACAGAAAGAAATATTTTGGATTTAAAAAGAAAAATAAAGTTGTAGTATTTGGGTAATTTCTAATTTAAATATCAAAATTATTGCAGATGCCAATCAGTTGAAGCATAGTTTCAGAGAAATGGGATTCGATGACAGAGAATTGGTTCTCATCTTTGGCATTCAGGTTTGTATGAAAATTTTGGATTGGCTACCTTTAACATCATTTGATTACTTAGTACAAGCTTAGAGAAAAATGAATAGTAAAAGCGACATGATTGTGTCAATCTCCTTTCTTTGTGCTTCTATACGTAATTACCTACTATGTACAAATATACTTGGCATGCAATGTCTTTCTGTATGGTATTTTGAAGTCCTGATGTTTTGCCTCAAGTTTAGCTTTCATTTGTTGCATGCAACAGTCCAAGTAGAATCGTCCTACTAACTAATCTCCATTTAATTGATGTTTCAGTTAGAGTGCTGCAGGATTGCAACTGCTACATACAGTTCTGCGAAAGATAGTTTTTATAATCTCTTTGGTGGTAATACATATTTCAAGTAAGATTATCACAGATCCTCTTAATTCTTTGATTAGTGCATCATCAATAGTGAATTAGTTCATCATGTCTGTTATGCATCTCCTTTCCCTCTCCTTTGGTACAAAAGAAAGCTGGAACAGAAATCAAGAACCATACAGCGTCTATTACTCTTGCCATCTGAGAAGGCTTTAGTGGAAGATAAGCACCTGATGGATTTGGTTCATTCGTATGCCTGGGTTAGCATCAACTTACCATTTTCTCACACATACACACACAAACACACGTATATATAACTTTCATCAACTCCCAATTCACCTTTCTCCCGTTTTCCGTTCCAATAGGGTGATTACGACCTGGACCTTTGTCACGATTATGCTAGAGCACATGTCAAACTTTCTGAGATAGGGTGACTTTATTTTGCCCCTACTTTCAATGTTCGATTTTTATCATCAAAATGGAAGTCTCACAAATTTCTTGCACTTCATTTTGGCAGATTTGGGAATATGGTTCGGATTGCTTAGAGATGCACCAGAAAAAGCTCTTGCTAAACTGATTTGATGGATCATTTCAATGTGCTCGACTTCCTTTTGTCTCTTTGAAATTTTGTTTGCTGCATTTTATAAACATTCGCATCTTCAAAGCTGAGATTAGTCTTGTTATCCGGAAAAGTGAACAGTAGTAGTCTTGAGCTCCATGACTTGGAGACTCTTGAATCACTCTTGAATCTCGTTAAAAACTTCACTAACAAGCATGAAGTGTAACAATTCATACCGATATACTAAATACAAAATATATTTTTTAGTTTTAGTTTTAGTGAAACTATTGCATTATTTTTGTTAATTTTAAACTATATCATTTTTATATTTTTATCATATCGTATCTAAAATTATCAAATTTAATTTGGTGTTTGGCACCAAACTATTGTTAAATCCAATCACATTTTCAAAATTAAAAAAAAATTATTGAAGGCGTTTTGATCAAAAATGTTTTCAATAATTAACTCAATAAATTTTTATTAAAGATTATTGAAGGTGTTTTTGAGTAAAAACACATTTAATAATTTTTTTCAAATTTTTTTCAAAGGATTATTAAAGGTGTTTTTGGTTAAAAATATCTTCAATAATTCTTTTCAAATTTTGTTCAAGAGATTGTTGAAAGCATTTTTAGCCAAAAATACATTCAATAATCTATTCCATATTTTGATAGGATCGGTGTTTTGGATAAGAATACTATTTTACCATGAATAAAATATATATAATATTTAATTCAAAATTTAATTTAATTAATTTTTGTAATTATTATTAATAAGTACCATCTAATAGGTTTACATTCAAATCTCAATACTAGCAATTACTTTTTTATTTACGGTCTCTTCTCTTTTATATCGGAAAAAGAAATACACATGGTATTAAAGATAGATTATTTTTCCTATATATCTATCATATGTATTAATAATTAAAATATTATTTGTATATCTATCATAGATATTAATAATAAAAATATTATTTGTTTTTGTATAAAGACAAATAAATAATAAAATATATATGTAGTATATAGATTATAATAAAAGGACAAACAATTAATGAAAAGACTATTAAAATAAAAATTGGGGTAGAGGCAAGATTGCTTCATCATGTTGAGATGTTAAGATGATGGATCACAGCCAATTGAACTTAGCTAGGATGGAATGAGGAGTTTCTATATTGGGAGCTTCTAAATTATAAAAAATATTTAATATTATATTTAAAATTTAAAAATCTTTAATAAGATATTTAAATTATGAATTCATTAATTTATATAATGCTAATTTTTACTAACGTAATCAACTCTAAATGATAATATATCTAACAAATAATCTTTTAAATACTATATTAATTAATAAATTTATAGATTAGATATCGTATTAGAGATTTTTAAAAATCAAATATTATATTAAATATTTTATTATGATTTAAAAATCATTTATAACATTATCCCAAAAATAAATGTTAATGGTGAAAAAAATTATGATAGGATTTTGAAGTTATATATGATAAAATTAATTTAATGATTAAATTTTTATCAAAAAGTCAAATTTGCCCAAGTGAAGTATATTGGGTAATTTTTATTTATTTATTAAGAATTAAGAAATAAAAAAAAAGGAAAAAAATTGAATTGAGTTAAATGAAACAGAATGAAAAACTTTAATCTCACTAGAATAAGTTTTAACATGTGAAATAAAAGAGGGACAAAATGATTATACACGCGAGTTGTAACGACAAATTTAACAATTTCATTGTTAGGGACAGTGGCTTCTCATCAAAATAATAAAAACAAATAAAAAAGAGGGGCTGGGGCTGAGTTAACTCGATCGTATGTCAAGTTGACTCAAAATTTTGCAAGAAAGAAGACGGCTAAAATCCAACTGCTCTCCTCATTTCTTCTCTTATTATTCATTTCATCTGTCTTTTTGAATCTTTTTCCCTTTTGGGTTTTCCATATTTCCATCAAAATTGTTTCTTTCGAAAAGAGATATGAAAAAGAAAGAATAATGCAGCAGATGCCACCAGCTGAAGAAGAAGAAGCTGAAATTCTGATTCTTCCCCAAGAAATCATAGGGGAAATCCTTTCAAGATTACCTATCAAATCTCTTTTCCAGCTCAGGTGTGTTTCCAAACTTTGGCTTTCTCTTATATCGGATCCCCTGTTAGCCAAAGCCCACCTCAAACAAACCATTAAAAATGATTACTTTTATTCTCAGAGAAAAAGAGTAATCATTTCCTCGCATAATTTATACTCTCTTGAATATGAATCAATTGGTAAAGATGGTAGCTTTAGTGAAAATTTGGTAGCTTCAGAGCTTGATTATCGTTTGTGAGCTCTGCTCCATGGAATACATAATTACATATTTCATGTTCTTGTGCTTAATGTATCCCTTTTGCTATACGTTGAAGAAAAGCTGAGTTAAAATGGTTGACTCGAGGCAGAAAATGATAATAAAATACAACTTGTACTGTTCAATTTTGTTTTTATTTTGTTTGGACAGGAAGGTCAAAGATGTAAGTGCCAGACCTTCCCGGTTTAGCATCCGTCATCAGGATACAAGTATAATTGAGCCTTACAGTCTCCTTTTCATTATGATTTTATGCAAGTCGTTTTATCTGATACTATCTTCTACTAATCCTTTAGTTGGAACCTCTTTCCTCCTCTGACAGACTTATGGAGAGAAGGGTAAATACTGGCTGCGTTTCTTTTAACCTCTGTGTTTTTCTGTTGGCAAAGTTTTAGTGATCTAAAAATTTCAGTGACTAGTGCATCACTTGGGTTTTGAAGAGAACCTCATAACTAATTGCAGCTTTTCCTCAATGTTTCCTAAAGTTGCATGCCTGAGTTGTAGGCATTTACAGTAGATCATGGCTTCTTCACCATAACCAACATATGACTTTGCAAAGCATGGATTTGCTTGTATTCCCTTAGCAATAACAATCTAGTTAAGCAAAACTTCTGGTTAATAAAGTTACTTTTACCTAACAGAAAGGAAAAAGAAACAAAAGAACCAAACAAAAGAGTAACATATGCTTCCTCTTGCCACTTTACTATGCCCTTGTGCGTTTCATCAGACAGAAACATTACAATAAAAATTAGGTCAAAGCAGACTCCCCATTTAAGCAATAGCTTCACATGGCCATTGCCGATTATTGCAAACCTGAAATCTTTTGACATCGTCTTCTTCATCATCATACCTCATCAATTTCTTGGAATATTCATTTATACATAGAACAGTTGTTTCCAACATGCTTAAGGGCTCAAGGAAATAAAGAAAATTTATCCTAGACAATTTAGTCCAAGACCCCATACTGCCACAGTCCTCCATTACCCACAATTCAGAAGCAGGCAAAATAGTATTTAGGATAATTTATGCAAAATTTATCTTCAAGAAGTGAATAGTGGTGATAGTGGTGATAGCAGCATGGATATTGGCAGACTATTGAATATCTTCTATTTAAATCAAAAGCAGTGATTTCATGAGATTCTGGGCTAAATAGCATATCACTCTGATCAAATGGCCAATGGAGAGCTCCATTGATAAAAGCACGAGACCATTTAAGAGTAATAAATATCAAGCCGATTAGGAAGGTTTTCAATTACGCTCCACGAGTTTAATGAAGTAAAATCTGAGGAATTAACACTTTTCTAGGCTGAAAAGTAAAAAGAAAAAAAAAACCAATATATTTGTGAAACAAAAGAAGGGATTCTGCTGAAACAGTAACACAAGCTTCCTCTTCCTAATTAACTATGTGGTCATTGTGCGTTTCATCCACAGAAACGTTACAATAAAAATTAGGTGAGAGCAGACTCTCAATGTAAGCAATACCTTCACATGGCCATTTCGGATTATTGAAAACCTGAAATATTTTGAAATTGTCTTCTTCAGCGTCACACCTCATCAATTTCTTGGAACGTCCTTCATTTATAAATAGAACAGTTGTTTCTGAAATGCACAAGGGCTCAAGGAAACCAAGATATCTAATGCTAAACAATTTAATCCAAGACCCCTTACTGCCATAGTCCTCCATTACCCAAAACTCGATAGCAGACAAAATACGATAATTTATGCAAAGTTTATCTTCAAGAACCCCCAAGCCAATTTGGTAGATAGCACCATGGGGTATTGGCAGTCTATTGAATATCTCTCTGTTTACATCAAAAGCAGTGATTTCTTTGTCGTATGGCATATAACACTGAAATGGCCAATGGAGAGCTCCATTGACAAAAACACCACACCCTTTAGTGTAATAGACATCAAGCGGAGGAAAGATTTCAATCATTCTCCATGAATTTTTTCTCAGTGAAAAAATTTCAGCTTTCTTTGGTGAAAATCCAAAAAATAATTTGTAATCGTCAGAGGATGAGTCATAACCAAAACCAGAAAAACGTTGATAAGGATGGGCGAGAGCTGAAGGACTAGGCTCTCCCAACTTCTTGTAGTCTCCAGTTGATGGATTCCAAATAAAGAAAAAATTGTTCAGGGCTAAAGCTACCAGACCATTGCATGAACCAAGAATTTTGGAACATTGAATACGCCCTTTTGGTGGAAAATCAAGGCCTACCAATGCTAATTCATCGCCTAAAGATGTGTCCGATACTTTGAAGAACTTGAGGCCATCATTAGGCGATGATAAAAGAACGTTTTGAGCCTTGATACTACGGTCTTCTGATGCTCGTTGGAAGTGCAATTTGGCGAAAGAGGAACTTGAGATCAGAGAACGCCATGGCTTCGAAACCGATTTGAATCTAAACAGGGCTTTGACAGGTGATCGTAAGAGTATCTCTTCTACAATATCTTGAGGGAAATTTGGCTTTGTCATGTCTTCTTCGTATTAGGGTTGGATAGGTTTCTTCCACGGAGACTATTGCTTTGAATGCTTGCCAAAGGCTGCAGGGCTTTTATAGCATAGACTATAGTAAACCCTTTTTGTTTAGGAATCAACTTCTTTTCTTTTTTATTTATTTATTTATTTTTTTGCTTTAAGCAATGAGTACTTTAAAAGTTTTAAAATTTTTTTAAAAAAAGAGCAGACAATTTAAAACTACAAAATTTTAACAATTTTTTCAATCATTGATTTTAAAAAGCCTAAAGGCTAAAATTAAACAAACTAAAAAAATTCATCCTCTCATAATTTTATTTTGTATAAACAAGTGATAAATATTTATAAAATAATATCTAATGTGAACAAATCAACAAATGCGTTCAAATGAAACTCTATTGATGCATAAATTAAAAAAATTAAAATTTGACTGAAAAAATACAATGGTACTAACGTTTTGAGAAAATATATGTATAAAATGCTATCGATTATAAATAAAACAGCGATTAAAATGAAATTTGCTAAAAATGTTGGTACAAATTTATTGTGATGCTTTTTTTTTTTTACTCGTAGCAACATATTAGGAATATCACAATAAAACTTTTTTTTTGTATTTTTTTGAAATTATAAAAAAAATACAATTATAATTAAGTATTACATAATTGAATAATCAAATAAATAAATTAATAAATTAATTAGTACATAATTTGATAAATTCAATATAAAGTTGAAATAAACCTACACATGGTGAGAACTGAATTTAAAATTTATCATTTAAAACCCTCTTTTTTGCCATTAAGTCAAGATCACATTATACGTATTTTCTCCATCAAATTTATATGTACTTATAAACCATACACATTGTACATATCCTATTTTTGACCAAACATTGTACATATCTTTACGGTGACAAGCACATACAATGAAGCTTATATGTACATTGCACAGTTATATTTTGATAATTATTATAAATGATTATCTTACTTATACATGATTGGTGATTATTTTTAAAGGGTTAATATTATAAATAATCTCTAAATTATGGTAAAATATCTAATGTGATATCAGAATTTTAAAAATATATGTTATGATATTTGAATTATGAATTTGTTAATTAATATGGTACTTGAAAGTTGTTTGTGTGCTAATTGTTATCATTTGGTGCTATTTACGTTAAAAGTGAAAATTATATTAATTAACAAATTCATAATTCATATATTATATTAAAAATTTTAAAATTTAGATATCATATTAAACATTTTATTATAATTAAAGAACCATTCATAATATTAACATTTTTTAATATCCAAAAACAAAAACAAAATAAATGGATCCACAATAATATTGACATTTATTATAATATATTTATGAAATTTGACAAATTAAATAGTTATTAAATAAATATGTAATAATAACAATCTAATTTCTCTTATAAAATTTAGAAATAAAAATTCTTAATAAAATTTAATAATATATAGTTTTTTATTTTATAAAAAAATGCATACAAATTGAATTCTAAAGGAAATTATTAATTAATGACCAAAGAAGATAGGGACGTCAATAGTTAAGGTATGAGAAGGGTTGAGCATTCTATATCTTCGTTTTTGGATTTTTATATTATATCCATCCATGTACTCATACCCAATGAAGATTTTAAATTTATCTCCATCTTTATTCCCGTGAATATTTAATAGGTATAGATAATCCTCACATCCTTAGTTTTTAAAAAATATAAAAATAAAAAATATATTTTTAAATTTTTTTTATTTTATCTAGTATATTTAGATAATTTCTTATAAATATATATTAATATATTTTTTCAATAAAAATATATTAATTCTAATTAATCTAAAATAACAATTTATATTATTTAATAAAAAATTTATTTACTAAATATATATTTGTAGGTATGGGTACGAGTAAGTGTTATATTATCCATCCCCATCTCATCTCCATACCCAATAAAAATTTAAAATCATATCCATACTCATTCTCGTTCTCATACCCATAATATAATACCCATTTCCATGTTCATTCGAGTAAAAAGTCGAATTCCCTATTAGGTATAAATAAGATTAATATTCCTAAAATAAGATAAACATAGATTAATTTAAGGACAAATTACTTTTTAAATTAAAGATAAATAACATCTGCGATCTTCAAATTTTGAGATGCATATTGTTTTACTCTCTAAATTTTAAAAAGCATTTTGTTGATCCTTGTTGTCGACTATCATAATGAATTAGTCTTTTCTTCAAATTATCACTTAACTTTACCTTTAAATGTTGGGTAAATGACATTAGTTATCTCTAAATTTTGAGATATATACCGTTTTAATCTTTAAACTTAAGAAAAAAAAAAGGAAAAATGTGTATTTTTTAAATTTTAATATATTCGAATATTTTAATTTAAAAATAAATAAATTTCAATGTTTTATTGTTAATTTTTTAAGTATAACATAGATTTTAATATATTTACAAATATTATTATTTAAATAAATAAGTTTTTAAATTTTTTGTTTTTAAGAATTTTTTTATTTTTTCAAATATAATATATATTTTTAATATGTTTTATCGAATATTGAAATTTAAAATAAACAAATTTCAAAATTATCTTTTTGAATTTTTTATTTTTTAAATATTATGTAGTTTTAATAATTTTCATTAAAATTTATTGTTTAAAATAATTAAGTTTTGAAATTTACTAATTTTAGAAGTTTTCATTCTATTTAAATTTTTAGGAATACTATATTTTTGTATTTTATATAGTTTTATAATTTAATATAAATAAATTTCAAAAATTTTATTTTTTTATAAGTTTTGTTATTTTTAAATATAAAATAGTTTTAATATATTTTATCAACTTTTATAGTTTAAAATAAAAAAATTCTAAAATCTTTTAGCTTTAAGAATTTTTTAAAATTTTATATGTAATATATTTTTATATTTTATCTAGTTTTATTATTTAATATAAATAAATTCAAATTTTCATTTTTTAATACTTTTTAAATATAATATAGTTTTAAGATTTTATCATATGTTATTGTTTAAAATAAATGAAATTTAAAAATTTTCTACTTTTAGGATTTTTTTTGAATTTTTAAATATAATATAATATAACATTTTATATAGTTGTATGATTTAGTAAGTTTTTTTTGTTTAATTTTGAATATAATGTTTATCATATTTCATTGTTTAAAATAAATAAAGTTTAAACATTTCTATTTTTAGGAAGTTTTTATTTTTTTGAATTTTTAAATATAATATACTTTTATATTTTATAGTTTTATAATTTGAATTAATGAATTTTAAAATTTTCTATTTCATTAAGTTTTTTTTTTATTTTGAATATAATATTTGTTTTTACTATATTTTATCAAATAAATAATTTAAAATAAATAAAATTTAAAGTCAAACTCAACGTGATTATTAAAGAAAAGGTTATTTCCTTATGACATTAAAGTTTGGGGACTAATAAGTGACATTTAAAAATATAAAACTTAAAAGAATGTACAACTCAAAATTCGAAAACAACGGATACAATTTGCCCAATTAATAAATTAGAGGTTAAAATGATGGCTCTCATTCACCCCGATAATGACAGCAACTGCTGAGGGTATAATTAGGATCGGGTAGGTTTTTATTTACCTGGAATCTAACTTAGATTTTATATTTATAATATTTAAATTTGGTTCAATAAAATTTTTTTATACATGAATTTAATTTAATATTATATAAAATTATATTTAATTCGTTTTAAAATTAATAAAATATAAAATTAAATATATATATAAAAATATATAAATAATAATTAATTAATTAATTAAAAATAATATATATATATATATATTGTATCAGATCAAATTTACTTAAAATTTTATTTTTAACTTATTATTATTATCACCTGTCTCAACCCAAAACCCTATTTAAAAAAAAAAATTAATCCTATTGAGTCGAAATTCGCTAGGAACAGGATGAGCTACAATCCCTAAGTATAACTTGGTTGGTTTTCTTAGTTACTGACTGGAGTTACCAAAAAAAAGTAAAACTTTTTTTTGTCAATTTTACAACTAGTATTTTTCTTTCAGTAAATACTTTTTATTATGGTAACTCAAGTAATCAATATTCTTAGGCCATCCCTCATTTTGTAATTCCTCTTTCAACGGCTAACAACCGTACACTATAAAAAAATTGTTTTATATTGATGTTAAAAAAATCATCAATAAAACTTAAAAAATTCATCAGTATAGTATAATAAATCTCATATTGATGGTCAAAATATCTATTTTGATAAATTTATAACCATCATATATCTTTTATAGGTATAAATTTATATTGACGATTTTTAAACTGTCGAAATGATAAATATAACTAACTGTTTTTAGTCTTCTATATACATGTATAATTTTGGTTATCAACTATATGTTTTCACATATATCTTTTACTAACAAACTTTGTCACGATTATGCTAGAGCACATGTCAAACTTTCTGAAATAGGGTGACTTTAATTTGTCCCTACTTTTAACACTATTTCTTTGTGTGAGTGTTATCATCAAAATGGAAATCCCACAAATATCTTGCACTTCATTTTGGTACATTTAGGAATATGATTCAGATTGCTTAGAGATGCACGAGAAAAAGCTCTAGCTAAACTGATTTGATTGATCATTTCAATGTGCTCGACTAACTTTTGTCTCTTTGAAATTTTGTTTGCTGCATTTTATAAACATTTGTATCTTCAAGGCTGAGATCAGTCTTGTTATCCGGAAAAAGTGAACAGTAGTAGTATTGAGCTTCATGACTTGGAGACCCTTGAATCACTCTCGAATCTCATCAGAGACTGCATTAACAAGCATGAAGTGTAACAATTCATTTCGATATACTAAATACAAATTACATTTTTTAGTTTTAAAACCATATCGTTTTCATATTTTTTTGTATTGTGTTTAAAATTATTAGATCTAGTTTTAACTATCAAACAATGTTCAAGAAAATTGAACATTTCAGCCAGCCTTAAAACAAGATAAATTGATCTCCCTCCCCCTACTTTTCTCTTAAAAAAAGAACAAGTACCGTTCAAGTCAAAAGGAAACACATTGGTCAAAAAAGAGTAAACTGGAAACACATCTTGGGCAAGTAACCCCAATCAAATGCAAAGTTGGTTCTTTAAACACATATAATCCAAGCTGAAGGTTTTTAACATACAGGATTTAGCCTAATGAGGTTATTCCAAGAAGTTACCTCAATCAACAAAGCTTTTTTCCACCTTCACGCATGATCTCATATGCAAGTTTATATTTTTCTATAGATGCCGTCCCCACACTCTACATATTTACAGGCTGTTTCTCTTAAACTCCAGACCATAAAAGCCTTCAGCTCTTGGGAGCTTATCCCTGACTCAGCACAACATAAAATACGATACTCAGCATTTCTCATCCACCGACATAAGATATATTGAGAAGGAAGTTCCCTTATGTCCAGCAATTTGAACACTTTCAAGACATGTCTGCACAGCACCCCTTCAAATTCAAACATTTGACAGCTACAATTAACACTGAGGTTGATGGTACTAAAGGTAACAGCATGTTTGTCATTCTCATTCCCAGACCGTCTAACCACATACCTGCTAATAGTCCCTTCTTCGTAAGTTTTTATCCCAATATAACTGTAAGATTGTAGAAGCTCATCTTGAAATATTTTGAAGATGGTAAAAGTATAGAGCCTTCTACACTGTTCTTCTATTGGTTCTTTTGTTTGCAAAAAAGCTTGCAAATTAAAAGAATTGAGATCTTCTTTTCTTTCCTCCTCACGACGTTGCTCAAGTCCTTGCTCATATCGTGAAACAAATCCTCTAAGGGGTGTTTGGCCATCTAGCTGCGTACCAAAGAATGATTCAAAACTTTGACCTATAGGAATCCCAGCAAAAAATTTGCCCCGCAAATACAATGGAACCCAACTTTCACGCTTTTCATACATGTATTTTAGCCAAACATTTTCCTTCAAGCTGTATTTATTGATAAGAGAGTTCCAAGTGGTATTGAACTCAACAGTTGTCTGACTTTGATAAATGCACTTTTCATATTCATGTTTAAATTCAATAGGCATTGACCGAAAATTCTCTTGCTCCTTGGCTCTAATCTGCCACAATGAAAAACGATGATGAGTCCCAGGAAAGACTTCAGCAACTGCTTGCTGAATGGCAATGTCTTGATCAGCAATAATTGACTTAGGATGGCCCCGAGACATTGCCCTAAACCAAGTTTGAAACAACCAAGTAAAAGACTCCTTCGATTCATTAGCAATCAAAGCAGATCCAAGAAGCACTGGCTGCTTGTGGTGGTTTAGTCCAACAAATGTGGCATATGGCACCACATAGTTACTTTTCCTGTATGAAGTATCAAAAATAATGACATCACCAAATTGACTACATGAAAATCTAGACCTGCCATCTGCCCAAAAAACACTCCGGCAACTACCATTATCAACCTCTACTGAATAAAAGAATCCAGTATCTTCTGCTTGTCTGGTTTGAAAATACTCTAAAAGTACAGAATACCAATCATTTCCAATTTTGCTTTCTCGGCTTCTTCTGATAAGTTTGCCATTATTCATTTCACCTAGATCCACAGAGACCATGCCACCAGCTTCCTCCTCTATGAATTTCTTTGAAGCTGTAGAAAGTTTCTTCTGGTACACCGTATGCATTTCAAGATCATGATTGTGATCTTTACGAAGACGGTCTACCATCCAACTGCCAGAGTCTTTCCTCTTAATCCTCATAAATGCCCCACAACCTACTCTTGAAGGGTGCTGGAACCCTTCCTTTGAGCAAACAAATCTGCGGGAAGTAATTGACCCATCATTCTTTGAGCGAAACAACTGACCAATCCGAACTCTAAACCCAGTATCTTCGGCATATGCTTGATAATATGCATATGCTTCATTAGCTGTATTAAACTCTAGTCCTATATATGGTTGAGCTATAGATTGCCCTCCATCTCCACCACGTTTTTGCCGTTTGAAATTAATGACGCCAGATGGACTTGGTCCTCCATAATCTATTTGTCCCAGCAATTTGACTTTTGGCCTATGCAACACTTCAACCAATGATTTTGTAACAACAGGAGGTTTCTGCAGCAAAATGGGCGAACTGCTTTCCCCTGCAGTCCCAAGTTCATGGTTATGATCCTTCTGAATTTGGTCAATAACCCACTTCCCCGAATCACGTCTTTGTACCCTAATGAAAGCAGGGCAACCTGTCCTTGAATTCAGCTGAAACCCTTCCTTTGAGCACACAAATCTTCTTGATGAAACTGACCCATCTGTTCTTGAGCGATACAGCTGACCAGTTCGAATTTTGAACCCGACACGCATTGCATACAGACCATAGAACTCACGTGCCTCATCTGCTGAATCAAACTCCAAACCCACAGCCAGTTCCATTCTAGACTCTCCATCATCATCTACATTGCCATTGATCATATGCGCTACGCCAAGAGGGTAGGCTTTCACAACCATAGTATTCATACATTCTCCACAGTTAGGATTAGTATCTGAGCTGCCTTCATTAAAAACAAATAATTAGAAGAACACCACCCACTATGGTTTAGATCTTCCTAGCTCAGCAACTCCAAATATACTACTCTTACTTCTTTTTCTGAGGTTGTGAATTTTCTTCAAATTTTTTTCTAATCGATTGATATCTTTGTTAACATACATAATTTAACAGATTAAAGCTAAAAGAATGAAAATTTCACCTGCACTTTTAAAACCCAAATGAAAATAAATTCAGATTAAAAAAGAAAATAATTGCCCTTGGTTCTACTTCTATGTGAATTAACTAGGGTTGGGAATTTAACATATACAAGAATTTGATGAAGAAAAGAAGAGATACCCAGAAATTCTATCAGATAAGAGAGCTCAAAGAATGCATCAAAATTTAAACAAATAACAACCGGATCAATGGCAAATCAAACAGAAATTAAAATCAGGGGTTCCCCCCCCCCCCCCCCAAAAAAAAAAGTGAAAAAATTACCTTCTGAAATCTGTGAAGTGGCTTGATCCTGAATCAATGCCCATATCTAGGTCTAGGGTCAAAATACACAAATCTGTAAATTCTGGTTCTGATTTGTCTCCTTTTTTTGGCGGGAAATTATGCGGCAAAGTGAAAAAAAGAGATTGGAAAAATAAGGGTAAGGGTTTTTGAAAGAGGAGTAGAGAAAGAAAAGGTTGGTTCCATTGACCGCTTTCTTCAGCTTTTAGGCTCCCTCTGCTCTGTCTTCCTATAGCAAAGTTACTACAGCCCATCGTGCCTTTCTTTTTTAATATTTTTTTATGCGTATACAAATTTTTTATTATTCTATTTCTGTTTTTTTTTTTTTTTAATTTAATTTTCTTTTGATTTATGTATCTTTTTAATATAAATACTATTTCTACACTAATAATTAATGGCATAATTTTTTTATATTTATTGACACAAAATTTAATTGAAATTTATAAGATAAATTATTACATTTATTAGTAATAAAATTTTTAAATTTCACAAATAAAATTAATATGCACATATTTTTTAATATAATAAAAAAATATATAACAATTTTTTTAATTTTATTTATAAAATTATATATTATTCTTTTAAAATAAATAAAAAACTATTAATCCAAATCACTCTTTCTCACACATTCTTAGAGCATATAAAACATGAAAAAATAGGACTATAAATTCAAGAAAAATATAGTCATATTGTTAAATTAATGTTATCAGATTGTAATTCACTTGCTGCTTTTATCAATCTCTATATTCCATGAAAATTTATTAATTAATTTTCATTTTTTTAATTTTATCCTACTAGTATTACCTTTTATTTTACAACTTTTACTCTATATTAGCTTCAAAAACAGAGAGAAGGCCGCCGCCCACCAGGCAGCGGTGGGATTCACTCTCAATCTTTGCAGAGTAATTCATCTGCTGGCTACGATTTCACTCTCCAATTTTCCAACTTTGCTCGGAAATCCAAATCTCATGTCTCAGTAAGTTCCTTTCTGATTCTTCTATATATCCAAGCATTTCCTATTCTGTTTCTTTGCTTCAATCTTCGACTTAAATGGAAAATACCCATTGATGAAACTTAGTCAAAAAACTGATATTCCATGGCTAGAGTTCAACCATTTATCATAACCTTCCTTAGGCAAAACCCTCGAACTGCCCAAAACGCTAATACCCACATCAGAAATCTCACTGTAGATTCCAAAGAAACCAATTTTATTTACAGGGAATTTGGTGAGAATCAAAATCAAAGTAAAGAACTAGTCAACGGTGCTATAAACCAACCAAATTTAGACATTGTAAAACAAGTTTGCAAGATTACAAGAACAATTCCCAGGTGGGAGGAAACTTTGCTCTCAAATTTCCCATCTTTTAATTTTTCGGAACCCTGGTTTTTTCGGGAGTTTTTGAGACAGCAAGAGAGTGTGCTTTTCTCTCTGAGTTTCTTTCACTGGCTGCGGTCTGAATATGAGTTTTCGCCTGACCTTGATTCCTGTAATGTGCTTTTTGATAAGCTTGTGGAGGCTAAGGCCTGTAAAGCAGCAAGAAATTTTCTTGAGCTGACGGGTTTTAGCCCTGAGCCGGGTTCTTTAGAGCGTTACTTAAGATGTCTTTGTGACGATGGATTGGTTGAGGAAGCTGCTGATTTGTTTTCCTTGTTGAATAAGAATGGCTACTGTCCATCCATAGCAACATGGAATTTAGCATTGTTGGCTTGTCTTAAGGTTAGCAGGAATGATCTTTTGTGGAAATTGTATCAGGATATGATAGATTCAGGTGTTGTGGTGGATATTGATGTTGGAACTGTTGGGTGTTTGATTCAAGCCTTTTGTAATGATGGGGAAGCTTCGAAAGGTTATGATCTTCTTCGACAGATTTTGGAAGATGGATTGGTGCCAGATACTGTTGCTTTTCACAAATTGATTGCTGCCTTCTGTAAGACAAGGAATTATGGTAGAGTATCTGAACTTCTTCACACAATGATTGCAACGAATCGTGCTCCAGATATTTATACATATCAGGAAGTCATCAATGGACTCTGTAAGAACAGAAAGTGCCTGGAAGGTTACAGGATTTTCAATGATCTCAAGGATAGAGGGTATGCACCTGATAGGGTCATGTATACAACAATGATTCATGGTCTATGTAGGATGGGGAGGTTTGGAAAAGCCAGAAAGCTGTGGTTTGAGATGATTAATAGGGGAATGCTCCCAAATGAATATACTTACAATGCACTGCTTTATGGGCTTTATAAGGTCCATGACTTCAAAGAGGCAAAAAAGCTATATAAAGAGATGCTTGACAGAGGTTATGGTGAAACCACTGTAAGTTACAATATAATGATAGCATGGTTTTGTTCACATGGGAGAGTGGATGTGGCTTATGATTTATTTGAAAAAATGCCTCAAAAGGGCATTGTTCGTGATTTGATCACATTCAATAGTCTGATCCGTGGCTTTTGCATCAAAGGGAATATTGCTAAGAGTCTAAATCTGCTCCATGAACTATTAGCACAGGGTTTACAGCCATCTGCTTCCTCTTATAAACCTATAATCGAAAACCTACGTCGGGTGGGTCACATGCAAGAAGCCAAAAATTTGTTGAATGATATGCTAAGTAGGGGTCTAGAGCCAGATGTCTATACTCATGATCATGTCATTACTGGATTGTGTGAGAAAGGATATGCTGCGGAGGGAATGGAACTGTTGGTAGAAATGCTGAGAAATGGACTGAAACCTCAACAGAACACATTTGAGAAACTGCTTCAGTGTCTCTCACGAAGTGATAGGTTAGATGATTCTTTACTTGTTTTAGATTTTATGTTTAGAATAGGCTATGCACTTAAAATAAGCATATGCCATTCCCTGATTGCCAAGTTTTGCGAAGGGAGTGCCCATTTTGTTGAATCATATTTAAGAGAGGTCCTAGAAATGAATTAAGCAAAGCATTTCCAGTAATCCTTTGTTGTAATGCTTGTATCTTATTAATAATGAAATAGCAAAGAGAACCCATGTTGGTTCTTTTGCCAACTATCGTTAAATCATCTTGAGACTATCATTGCGATCATATGTTATTTTTTAAATATGGTTATGTAAATAAATTGAGTTAAATTTTGAATTCTAATAATATATATTTGGGTTGGTAAAATCAATACAATTGCAATTTCTCCCAAATTTCCTCACTTGAAACAAAAGAAAGAAAAATTAATTATCATAATGTTAACTTTTGTATACAGAATTTGAGGTAAATTTGAAAAAAAAAAAAAAAAGAATTCAAGAACTTTAAAATATTTTTTTTTAATTTTTTTTTAAACATCCAAAATAATGCATAGAAATTTATAACAACTAAGCTAAAGCGTCACAAACAAGATGTCTTTCTTTTTTTAAAAATTTTTTTTTAATTGGATTAAATTAAAAAATTTTAAAAGTTATAAACTCCCAATCAAATTATAGAAAACGCGTTGACCCCAACCATTTTTATTGCCTATATATATATATATATATATATATATATATATGTATACATACATAAGCCGCAGGCATTTTTCCACGGTTTCTTCCCCTCTCATTTTCAGAGAGAGAAAAAAAAAAAAAAAAAAAGAAACCGGAGAGAGAACAAATATGTACGGATACGAGCGCGTGAACAGCACGAGCGGCGGCAAGGCGGATCAGATAGATCTAGAGTCAGGGGAGACTCTGTACCCCGGGCTCAGCTACGGTGAGAACCAGCTCCGATGGGGCTTTATACGTAAGGTTTACGGCATCGTGGCGGCACAGCTGGTGCTGACCACCGTGGTCTCCGCCTTCGTTGTGTTGTCGGCTCCGGTCAACGATCTCCTCCGTGGAAACTCTGGCCTCTTGCTCTTCCTCTGTTTAATCCCCTTCATCTGTAAAGTCCTCTCCTTTTTCTTTTTTTTTTTTTTGGAATTTTGACCCTTTCTTTTCTACGCGCTTTGGTCGTGGTAAATTTTAAATTTTTGTGAAAGAAATATTCGTTAGGGTTCCTTTAAAATCTACTATATGTTATTTAGGCCCTTTTCAATGTTTATTATGAAGTTAGTCTATTTCAAGCGCTAGATTAAGATTAGATTTTATCCATTTTTTACCTTAATTTTCAACCAAATTTGTTTCTATAATCAATATTTTTTTATGGATGAACAAAATTTTGGTTTACTCAGTTATTGAAAAATGATACTAAAATATAATTGAAATATATGATGCCTATAGGTTGATAATCATCCTATATCATATTTGGTTTGTATTTAAAGAGTTAAAGAGAAGGATATGATTGCAAGGAGGATTAATCATTCTCTTGGCATAAGATGATTCAATACTTCCAAAGTGGAGAGGATTATTTTTAATCCATAGATTGAACTTATATGTTCTATTATACTCTTAAAAATTACATCAATAATTTAAGTTTTATAAACTTTTAAGAAGGATAATTTTGATCAATAAATAAAATTATCTTATTTTAATCCTTGCACACATCAAACATAAAATAAGATGAAATTATTTAATCTGATATATTTATAATATCATCTTATCATATTCTATCATAACCTTGTGCACCAAACACATCCTAAAGTATAAAGGTTGAGTAAAGGATTTGACAAAAGTTTGGTTCCCTAAACAAAGACAGCGTTCTACCATTGTCTCTATATATTGATTCTATCTGTTCTCCACTGTATTTGGATGCTTTTCATGGGGAATTTATGGATTTAGAACTTGTAACTGTCTCTCATTTTGTGGCATTTATGTTATATTGGGTTTTTAATAAGGTGGTGTGTGGTGGTCTTAATGTACCCTAATACTGGAGATCTTTTTGTTTGCTTTAATGATTTGAATGTCAGAATAGGATAAAGAGATGTAGAGAGTTAAGACTTTGAAATCAAAGTAAATAAAGAAAAGCCTGTTAATAATAGCCTGTACTTTTGTGTGAGTTTTTCTTACTTTGGTTAAGTTAACTGGCTTTTGTCTTGCAGTTGGATAATGTGATCAATTTCAGACGACTAACCATTATGCTCTCCTTTGTGCCTCTTGAACTGTCCCGTAACTTTTACCAATTTACCTTTCTCTTTGGTTGATTATAATGGGTTTGGAATATTTGGAAGTTATTAGTTTTCATGTCTTATAATTTTGTAAAGTTAGACCTTAAGAGTTGGTATTGTGTCCTTCTATAATGGCCTAATTTGTATTCTACTAGCTTGAGTCATAAAAACCTCCTTTTCTCCCAAGCATTTACTTAAGATCTTATGGAGTCATGTTTCATTTCTTGTGTCACTTTACTATGCTTTATCTTAACCATAAAACTTAATCCATGCAGTGTTGTGGCCCTTGCATGTCTATCACCAAAAGCACCCTGTGAACTTGGTTATCCTTGGCCTTTTTACTGTGTCACTAAGTCTCACAGTTGGTGTGAGCTGTGCTAATACTGATGGTTAGTATCTTAATTGATGCATGCTCTTAAGATCTAGTTATAAATCTAGAATTATACTAACTATCCACATTTGTATGATTTCAGGAAGAATTGTGCTGGAAGCACTAATTTTGACAGCAGCTGTGGTTGCATCTCTTACTGGCTACACTTTCTGGGCATCTAAGAAGGGCAAGGACTTCAGCTATCTTGGGCCAATTTTGTTCACCAGCCTTATTGTCCTCATCCTAACCGGTCTAATCCAGGTGAGATGTCTCTGTTATCTATCAATGCAGTTGGTAGTTCAATGCTATATGAGTGCTTTTGCTTCCACATACTTAAAAGTAGGATTCGTCTGACTTCATATATGATTTATTATCATGCAGATGTTCTTCCCGCTCGGCCCAACATCTACTGCTGTCTACGGTGGAATTAGTGCTTTGATTTTCTGTGGATACATCATCTATGACACTGACAACCTGATCAAGCGCTTCACTTATGATGACTACATATTGGCCTCCGCCACACTCTATTTGGACATCCTTAACTTGTTCATTTCCATTCTGCGGGTTTTGAGATCTGGGGATAATTAGTTGCACAATCTTTCATTCAACGTGGTGGGGTTGGCAAGAAATTGATGTATGGTGGTTGAATTATTGTGTGAAGAATAGGTAAACTATTATTGTCTACATAAGTATGTTTTTCCTTGTTGTTTTTTACCAGCACTAAGATGGCTGCCCCAATTTGCAATTTCTCTAACCCGGATCAGTTGTGATACGAGGATGCATAATTGGAATTATCCCAACTTTATGATTGCTTCTCTTGTTCAATATAGTCATCTTATTTTCTTAATAAATTTTGCTCATGAAGCTGCTTTGTGAATGGATCTAGAAATGAAACGTAAACAAGTTTCTTAGATTTTGTGATGGCTGTAGCGTTTGCTTAATGCTTTGCAACGGATCAGCAATTTCTATTCGGGCAATTTTCGTGATATGTCCGTTCGAATGTAATGATCCTCGAAATTGGATTCCATCATGTAAGACCGAGTTTGGATGTTATATCTAAATCTCTCAATTGTTTTCTTAATTTGATATTTTGTTTAAACTAAGTAATTTTGTTGAAAATTATAATAAAGCTTTTACCATTCAATAAATAATACTCAAAATTTGGGACAAAAGTAAAGGTTGCATTAAAAGTGTTAAAATTTAAATTTTAAATTTTAAATTTATTGAATGTTATTTATTTAAGATAATTAAATAAATGAATTTTACGAACAATTGAATTAAATTTTGTTTTAAATTTCAAATTTCAAATAACTTTTCTTATGTATGGAATAGCATCAAATATAACTTTTTTTAATATCTTTTATTTTTGATTGAATATATATTCTATTTTTGTTGAAATTCTAACATTCTATTGATTTTCGTTTTTAGAAGTAACTATTTGTTGATATTTTCAAGAAAAAAACTTAAAACCTAAATCTAAATTCACAATTACCAACCTCTCCTAATTTCTTTCTACACCGAAGCCTTAACTTCCTCTGCTTATTGCTCCTAGCCTTATGATCTCACCCTTCAAACCCTTACTCTCGTGCCAAGACTCGGATCACTCCATTCTCCTCCGCCGGACCAAGCTCTAGTCTTACAACCCTCGGCCACGCTGGGTTTTTGCAATTAGAAGAGTCCCCAGTTGTTACTTCTGTTCTTAAATCATTCAGACAAGGAATCCGAAGCTACCTGATTCCTTGCAAAATTACCCGGGGGCTACCCTTTTTTACACTGATGAAATGGCAACCTGTTGAAAAGCCTGGAACTTCGGCCATAGCAGGAATAACCTATGTCTAACCATCCCAACCATTTGTTTTCCAAGCTGTTTATCAATGAATAACCCTAAACTCCCTCCCGCTCTTCACCTCCAGGAGATTAAAAGAAAGGGTGAAAAAAGAATCATAGATATAAGAAAGGATAGATGTTTGAGGCTTTTGACCAACAAAATGATTGGCCAAAAGGAAAAACAAAGGGTCTCATCCCCTGATGAGAGAGACAAAAACAGCAATCTCCAAAGAAGAACAAAGAGAGAATGAATGAACAAAAAGTAAAATTTGCCTATGAACTAATAACGCAAACATCGGAAGAGAGACGGTGTAGAGGGGAATAGGTATGATCAGCCTAAAGATAAATATCCAAAATGCACCAAAAACTGCCTCTGGTGTTTCACAACAAAAAGGTAAAGTTTAATGATCAAAATACCAAACTGATATAAAAGTACTTAATAAATCTAGCACACAATCATTTCCCCAACTGCAAACAAACACTGCAATGACAGAAAGATCTCACAGAAGAGACATGGACATTCATAATTATATTCAAGTGACTGAAGCAAGGAGTGAGGCAATAAGATTCAAGATAAGTTCTCGGAATTAGCCCATAGCTCATATGAAAACAATCTAATCTCTATTACCACAAAGGAAAGTGCAATAAAATGCATAGACAACTCTGTTCAAATACAGACCAAAAGCACAGATTATAACCAAAAAAAAACTTGAAAAAGAAAATCAAATACCACATTCACCGTTTATTGATCATAGCCTTTAATATTTAGAACAAACACATAAGTTATAGAATTACTATTTTGAACAAACACAATTCTGCAAATGTTTCACATAGAACTGATGTATATTTATGAACATTTAAAGAAAAAAAAGACTTATATAATTGAATCCAATCACTGAGAATTATTTACAAATGGACTACAATGTTTAGGTAATCTTTTATTATATGTAAACTATAAAATTTTAATTTAAAAAAAATCATCTTAAAAATACCTGGATACTACTAATATTTAACACTTGATTTTCTTTCCCTTCAGATATCAATATTAAATCAAGCTTTAACAGGCTGATCCTCATCATCATCATCGATATCCCAACTCAAATCCTCTTCCTCCGCAACACTGAGCCGCTTACGCAGATCAGCTCTATTAGCACTCCCAACATCTTCCCCTTTATTGTCGACACTACTCTGAATCTCCTCAATCTCATCCCATCCTTCCTCCTCAGGCATAGACAGCTGGCTTGAAACTACCGAAACATCACTATCCTTACATGAACCTGATTTCTCTTCATCATTTTTTGACCATTTACCACCATCTTCACTCAAACTCTTCTTCTCACTCTCTACATTCCCGATACTCTCCTCATCATCCTCATCAATATCCCAACTCAAATCCTCTTCTTCCTCCCCCGAAATTGCGCGTTTAACAAGCTTAGCTCTCGCCTCCTCTGTTTTTATTAGACTACTCAACTTATAAAAATAATTACTCCAATATCTCTTATATTCTAATTCATCAGAAACAACCTCTTTAAAAATATCTTGAATAACTAAATTTTCATTTAACAAATCCTCAATTTCCCCTTTTTTCTCTTCCAAATTAAACCCTAATTTCCAATTCTCAAAATCCTCCAAATCCTCTGGTCCCATACAGTATGTACTTTTATCTGATTGAAGCGCTCGAATTTGCATCTCAAAACGATTGTACCGTTTTTCATTAATGCTATTATTACTAACATTTAATTTTGTATTATTAGAATTTTCAGAATCATAATTATCACCGTCGGGCGGTGATAAGAACGTGTGTTTACCGTGAGAGATGATTTGAGCCGTTGATTTCCAAACGGAGCTACCGATGTCATCAATAGCCTGTCCCACCGACTCGAGCTTTTCCTGAGCAACGGAAGCGCCGACCTCGAGGGAGTCGTTGACGGCACGTGAGGCTACGGTCTTGATAATCTCGGTTTCCTTCTTTAACCCGGACCCGAATTCCTGGAGGTCCTTTCGGTAGGATTCGATCACGGATTCCGACCTGTTCGCAAGGGCTTTCATTAGGCCGCCGAAGCTCCACGAGGAGGATGATCCCGGGTTCGGAGTCGGATCCGTGGGTGGATCGGAGGATTGGGGTTGGACATCGTCCGAGAATACAGATTTAAAGAAATCCATTGGAACCCTGCACAATTCAATTGGAAAAGGAAAAAAAAAGTTCTTTTCTTTTTCTTTTCTAATTCTTCAGTTTTATAATGTGAATTAGGGTTTTTGGAGGGATGTTGAGATCAAGTCATGGCGGTGGAAGGAGATAGGGATTGCCGATTTTGAAAGGTGTTTTTTGTTGGGACACGTCAGCTTTTATAAATACGTCTCTAATCACATTATTCAGACTTATTTGATTAATTAAAATTAAAATTTTAATCATATTTATTTGATTACTTGGTAAAAAAAATTTTTCTAATAATTTAAACTAACTTATTAAGTCGTATAAGTTATTAAATTAAGAAACGGAAAATTAGCATTCAATCATTTGATCGAATGTGATTAACGTATGATGTATAAAAATAGGATTCAAAAAAATAAATAATTTAATTTAATTAATTCATATAATCATTTTTAAAAATTTATTTTTAATAAATTTTAATTTCAATTCTTAATACCTATAACTTTTTTTTTACCATTAAATTATAATTTCTTTTGTAAAAAAAAAAAATAACATTTTTAATCTCTGCAAACTATTTTTTTTTTCTATTGACCTCATTTTTATATATTTTGAAAATATCTTTTCTCAAATAAATATTATATATAGAACCAAGAGAAAAGAATAACCTAATTTGAATTGAACCAAATCACATCGTTCCAAATGCTCAGTCCTTACCTCAAAAAAAGGAAGGCTGTCAAGTTCTTTTGTATAGCAAGCAGGTTGGTTTAATACTCACTGTTAGAAAAGCTACTAACATTGCAGCAATGCCATCATGTTAATGTCCAATGACTGAAAAATTTTCCAAGGATTCAGGACAAAAGAAGTTAAAGGACTTACAAACCAAACATTGACTTTGTTAGGGGGAAAAATGTTTCCGATAATGCCACACACCCGGATCCAGGGATCGAATTAAGGCCATACAACATGATTATGATATAACTAAAACAGAAAGATTGGCAGATGATTCATATAATCATCTTTCACGACTTGAAAATTAAATCTAGTTATGTTTCTTCACGCCTTGTACAACAATACCATATTTCAATGACACTCCTAGCAAGATATTAGAAGGGCTTACTATTTCTCATATATTCTCTTATACCAAAGCTCTGATAATCCTTCGATGCAAATTTCTTTCCTCGGCAAACAGTTCTCACACCATGGAAGATCATCACTCAGAATTAGCATTTAACAGAAGAAGTAGACAACAAGTAGAAGGAAACTAGCATTTAAGAATTGGCAACCGGGACACTCTTTCAATTTCCTTGATAATTAGTTCCTTTTCCTCTTCAAATTGATCGTCTTCAGCACCTATGATGACAACGATTTCTTAACAGGTGAGTACAAGGACAGCTAAGATAAAGGTTTCAAATGGAAAATTTATAACCCAACCACTTCTCTGGTGCCTTTTCTTTCAGAAAAATGTATGGCCAAAAGAACAAGTACCTTTTCCTGAGAGATTTTGAAGCAGATCCAGCAATTTCTCATGGTTTTTTGCCAGAATAATCTTTACTTCTCTTGGCTTGTTAGGATTAGCAACAAAAACCTGCATGTGAGTAGCAAAGGAATGAAAACAATAAATTAGAACAATTCAAGCAATTTATGAAGTAAAATTTATTTTCTTTTTATCTAGGTGATATAAGAAATTTGCATCCAACAGTCCAAGTAATTTCATGACAATGAGAGCCAATTGGCTTTGGAAATAAAACAGAAGAATACTCCATTGAACAATGTGCTTGCCTGTGGATAGGCCTGTGCTGGGACTAGCAAAAAGGATGTGTGTGGGTGTGTGTGAGTGAGAGAGAGGGAAAAACCACCTTGAAAATGTGGAAAGCAGAAATCTGAATGTTTTTGCTTGAATCCTGTTTTGACACAAAACGAGAAGAAAATAAAAAAGTTGAATTATATAACCGACAATTTCAAACAAGTTCTTATCAACGGTTAAGATATTTAATGTACCAAGGAAGCAAACTGGGACAATCTTATCAGACATTCAAGAAAAAACAGACGGCTCAAAAGGTTGCACTAGGTCCAATCTATTAAAAGTTGAATAGCCAAAATAAGATATAATAAGTTGAAGTAGCTTCCATAAAACAAATATACCATCCTACACTCTTGGCTTTCACTATCACATCAACTCATCTTTCATATCTCTTCAGGCCCAATAATGGACAGCGGAAGATGCAAGGTTGTATGATGGTTGAATGTAAATTATAAGTCATTTGAATAACACATCAGGACTGCCAATGGATAATTCAACCCAATTGAAACCAAAAGAATCGTAAAGGAGAAAAAGTACAGTTAATAAGAAGCACCTTCAGCAATGTCATCATGACTTTCAGATACCGAACTTCTAAAATGTAGCGCTTCATTATATGGGAATTTGGAGGCTCCAAAAGAAATTCCGATAGAAGCTAAACCAAAAACATTGCAGCATTACCAAGCGCCATAGCAACAGAGCAAAACTAGAAGGAAAAGAGAGAAACAGCCAGAACCAACCTTTAAAGATTGCCTTCTTGTCACATAATTAGAAGATGTCAAGAGTTTTTCATATAGATCAAAGAACTGGAACAACATTATCTTATTAGATAAGCAAAAAGAGAAAACAGAAAATGAATATTTCCACAAACTTATGAAGAAAGATATCATCACAGCTCTTCAACATGCAGATTGATCAGGAGTAGTTGCACTTGATGTCCCTTATCAAAAGGGTACATACAATATAAAACATTCTCGAAGAAGTTTTTCAACCGAGCAAATCATCTAGGTTGAAAATGCAATCAACATAAAGTCCTAAAGCAAAATTGGGCTCCACCTAGATCATTTAGGAGTCATAAAAGATATGAGATGTAAAGTGTATGTAAACGTACCTCATCATAATGAGCATTCAAATATTCAGATACCAGCGTTCCATGTTTTGTAAGAAGATCCTGAGGAATTTCAATCAATGACACGTAAGAGGAAGAAAGCATGGAGCCTGGAAACGTATTTACTTAAACTAAAGTACCAGTAAGACTTTAAAACTAATAGATCTAACCTTAAATGTTGAAAATGCATCAGAAGCAACATCAAAATTGGGCAACTCCACAAATTTGAAGAACAACACAAAGCTAGCAGACTTTAATATGTATCTGAAAAATCACTACAAGATTTAACTGGTGAAAAAGTGAAACTTGCTTTTTAGTAAAGAAAATTTGCACCAAAAACACGAATTTAAAATGAAGAAAGTGTCCTAGCGGCCAATTTTTCCTCCTTTAGTTTACTTGGACTATTTCATAGACACAAACCAGCTAAGAGTTTGACATCTAACAAGAGCAGCAACTGGCACTTCTAAAATAAGTTATGGGTCGCCAATCTCTATACCTCACCAGCTCCTGAATTATCCAGTATGCAAGGTTCTTTTACTTGAAACCTTCATAATATGCTTTACACTTGATCTTTTAAAGCAGCCCAGTTTAAATATTAAAAGGAAGTTTATCTCCAGGAACCTAATTTTCAAGTTAACATCATCGTAAGATATTGAAAGTGATTACTCAGTCTACTAAGAACCGGAGTTGTATCTGAATGGTATGCCAAAAGCAACATATTTCATGCATGTTCTGCTTCTTCACTACCTCACCTCAAGAAAGTCTAGTGTATAATCCTTAGTAGAGACTAGACACCTAAAATCATAGTGGGAAAAGAGTATACAACTGTGGCTGATGATTGCAATCAAGGAAACATGCAAAGCTGGCCACAAATTTAGACAATATAGAATACAATAAAGAAATTTACAGAGCTTATGTACAGCAAGAAATACATTTATTTCCTTTTCAGAAATCATCATTGAGGAAGAAGCAACGTTTTTAGCCAAAGCATCATTTTAGCAACAGCATTAAGTACTTCAATCATATGAAAGAAAGTCATAAAGCTCGAATGTCTTACTGTGCAAGTGTTGGAAATTTGATGCACTCCCTCAACATATTTCCGCAGTTTAAAGCAATTTCCTTGTTATCATAGCTGCTTGCAAAAGATAGAAATAAGTCTTGCACACCCAACTTTAATGATTCAATAGCACATATGGCTTTGTCCAACTTATTTCAGTACACATACTGGTCAATGCCATCCTATAAAGATAAACACCCCATTCTAAACACAACAAAGAGAGAGAGAGAGTCACATTAAACCAGACTTATGCGTATTTGATAAACATGTTATAGACAACAAATGATAGAGATTTTCAAGCAAAAAAAAAAAGGGCATGGACACAGATAAATGTATAAATGGCATTCATAACCTACCAAACTACAAGAAAGTCGAGTAACTCCAAATGGTTCTCAATGTACTCCACACAGCAATATTTGGAGTCAATTTGTTGCTTCAACAATATGGACCAACAGTGTACTAAATCTTTTCTTGCCTGCAAAAACATATATTACATTAGCATGCTTATTAAATAACCAAATATGAGCCAAAATAGTAGAATATCAAGAACTTACTTCCCATCCCAGTATGGGTAACTTGTGAATAACGAGAGCAATAATATCCTCTTTAGAAATTTCAAGTACCAACTGTGAGACTTGATCCACATTTGGTTCAACCTCCCCATCTCCAGATAGCATGCATCTCATTGTCACAAAATTCTTTTCAACTTCTTCCATAGCCTAAGACAATATTAAAAAACCTATCAATATCCAAATTCTTAAACTGCAGCCAATTCTTGATTTAATTTCAGAACATAAACCTCATTGGAAACTAAATCCCAAATTTTCACTCCAGGCTAAAACAAAAATCGTCCATCCTCGGACTCGGACCAACTTATTATTTTATCTACATTGCCATTGAAAAGTAGGTTAACTGGCATTAATCCCATGAGACAACATTAGCAGACATGGACACCGGACAAGCATTACCTTTTTTTCCCATAGGATTAGAACTTGAATATCCCAGTTGGAGGTCTTATGTTAATGGAATTATTAAATGGGAGAGGTACCTCCATTTGTGTAGCTCAAAGGGCAATGGATTTTCATATGTACAAAGTAGCAAATTATTAACCATTTTGTTTCTATTGACATTTGCATACATGACAGTCAGTAGCATTTCATTCAAGTTGGGAAAGAAAAGAGCACCAAAGATATGGGAAAAACAGCAAAGTAAATGACATAACACGTAAAATATCTCAAACAACCAGCAAAATCAACGCTAAAAAATCACCAAATCAAATAATTCTTAAAACCCATTTCATAATTTCAATATTACAACAAATTTGAGACTTATTCACTTAATCCAAATCCAAAGAAAATTCAAAGCATGCATGAAATTACACCAAACACAAGCATAAAAAAAACCCCAGAAAGAAAAGAACAAAAAAAAAAGACCTTTTCAAGGGCTCTAACTTCAGCAACGGTTTTGGTATCGAGTGCCATGAGGCTGTCCTTGATCGCTTTGGTTACCTCCTGCGGGGTTTTGGGCCTTGACGGCTTGAAGAACGAGAAGGACATGATCGATCAAATGTTGAAATGATATGACCCAAATTCAATTCTCTCAATTTCGCTTTGATGAAGGAATTGTAGATTGAGAAAAGGTAAAAGGATCGGTTGATCTGTTGTTAATCATGGAGACTTTTCACATTTTTTTTCAGTTGAAATTATGAGAATTTTAGAAAAACAGAAATTCTCAAAAAGTAAAAAAAAAAAAAAACAACTAATTTTTTATCTAAAAAAACAATATAATTTTCCATATTATAATACTATCCTTTTTTTTTATTTTTAATCAATATATACTATTTTTGTTTTTCTACGGTGAATTTTGAGTGAGGAAGTCGCGTTACATTGTTTCACTCCCAAATTAAATCATAATAAATAATTAAAATAAATAATTAAAATATTTTTAGTGTGAGACTTTAAATATTTTAAAATTAATTTTATTTTTAAATTGAAAAACTATCTAATAATTTTATAATTATGTAATTTTTTTTCTTTCATTTTTTTTATTTTTTACCATTCAAATCTAATTATTTTTAAACTATTACTTCATCGTTTATATATTTTTTGAGTCTGATTAATGATTGTTAAATTATTATATTAAAAAATTATATTTAACTTTCTTGCCTTAAATTCCAAATAAAAATCCTAAAGTTCTTCTAATTACAACTCCACCGGAAAATTAAAATAAAATAAATAAAATAAAATGGGGGGCATTAGCGGAAATAAAAGGAAAACGAAGGGGGATTCCCAGATGCGCGCCGACTCCACCGAGAGCCCAAAAATTTATACCCAAAAAACATCCAATTCTTCTCCTTCATTTTCTCCATTTAACAAACAGATAATTTTCATTGTTTTTCTTTTCCAGACCTAACGGCTCTGAATTATCCGATGCGTGGTCATGATTGGATCAACACGTGTCTTCCCGACGACCTCATCCTGGAGATCTTACGCCGGGTGGATTCCAAAGCCAGCCATGATTCCTGTTCGCTCGTCTGCAAACGCTGGCTTCGTCTCGAACGGCTTAGTCGCACCACCCTCCGAATCGGCGCCTCTGGAAGCCCCGACCTCTTCGTCATGCTCCTCGCTCAACGGTTTGTCAATGTCAAAGCCGTTCATATTGACGAGCGATTATCCATTTCTTTACCTGTCAACGTGGTAATCAAACCTCAAATTCGTCAACTTAAGATTAATTTTCTGAATTTTTTGCTTAATTTTTTAATAAATTTGGCATTTTATGCACACTGAAAATGCTAATTATTATAATATTTAAATACTTCGTTTGATTATCGCTTCTGTTATTTACTTAGCAAATTGTAGAACGAATGACTAAAATTTAAATTCGATTATAATAGAATTAATCAATTCATGTAAAAGGAATATCATTCATTTTTTTTAAATACATTTTTAATATTTGAATTTTCAGAAAAACATTGCTTTTTCTGTGGAGATGCAATAAGGAAATAGTAAAAGCAAAGACGAAATGATAGACAGTTAATGAGGTAGTTTAAGTTGTTGGTGTAGGGGAAAAGGCGTGGCAGAGATGAGAACTCGCTGACATCTCTCAAGGTGCACTACGCGGCTGAAAAAAGTGGGTCTGAGGAAGAGGATTGCGAATCATTCTGTTTGACAGATGCTGGATTGACTGCGGTTGCTGATGGCTTTTCTAAACTAGAAAAGTTGAGCTTAATCTGGTGTTCAAATGTTACAAGTTTGGGAATAATGTCCCTTGCACAGAAATGCTCTTTCTTGAAATCCTTGGATTTGCAGGTAATTCATTGTTTTCGAGTAGAGACTGTAGAGATATTTTTCACTATGATGTAGCTCAATTTGGTTGTTTCGCTTATTCTTTCAACAAATAATTCTTTATAATACCAAGTGATGTACATACACCGCTCTCAAGTGTCCATCCTCAGTCCTTAGTGCTTAAACAGCATCACCATATTTTACAAATCTTTACTTGTCATGTTCTGTAAGTAACGCTGTACATAAACTTCAGTTGCTTATGATGTTTTTCTCTAGGGTTGCTATGTTGGAGATCAAGGTCTAGCTGTTGTTGGCAAGTGTTGCAAGCAACTTGAGGACTTAAATTTGCGTTTCTGTGAAAGCTTAACTGATGCAGGATTGGTTGATTTGGTCACTGGTTGTGGGAAATCATTGAAATCTCTTGGTATGGCTGCTTGTGCCCGAATAACTGATAAATCACTTGAAGCTGTGGGGTCTCAGTGCAAATCTCTTGAGAACTTGTCACTGGATTCAGAGTTTATCCGCAATAAAGGGATCCTTGCTATTGCCCAAGGATGTCCTCTTTTGAAAGTCTTGAAGTTACAATGTATTAATGTTACAGATAGGGCTTTGATAGCTGTGGGAGTTTCTTGTTTGTCGTTGGAAATGTTGGCCTTACGCAGTTTCCAGCAATTTACAGATGAGTTAGTCACCCTTCCTTTATTTCTTATGCACAATGAAAGAAATATCACCCTAATTGAATTGGATACTTGAAGTTTATTTGATCAACTAGCACCCCTCTAATTCTATCTTTTGGAATGAAAAAGTGGAGCTTTTTCAAACTTTTGTTGTCTAATTCTATGTTCTATGTATTACTATGTTTTTGATACATGGTATGATTGTTGAAGTATAAGTTTGATTTTTATCTTAGGGGTCTTCGCTCTATTGGGAAAGGGTGCAAGAAGCTAAATAATCTGTCTTTGAGTGATTGCAATTTCCTGGGTGACAAGGGTCTGGAGGCAATTGCTACCGGCTGCACTGAACTTACACATCTTGAAGTAAATGGTTGCCTCAATATTGGAACCATTGGTCTGGAGTCTGTTGGGAAATCTTGCCCGTATGTTCCTCTTTTATTTTTTCCCCTGCTACTCACCTTTTTAGGGGCAAGACTCCCAGGCTTTAACAGGAGCTAGAGCTTATACCCAATGCCTATTGTTGTGCATTCTTGGGCTTGTTTACTGTAGTTAATCAAACATTCCCATCTTTCTATCTTCTTGAAAATTTAGAATTATGACAATTCTGAAGTTCTTGACTCTTTGCAGGCGCCTTACTGAGTTGGCTTTATTGTACTGCCAAAGGATTGGTAATTTTGCTCTTCATGAAGTTGGAAAGGGCTGTAAATACTTGCAAGCTCTTCACTTGGTAGATTGTTCTAGCATCGGAGATGAAGCAATTTGCAGTATAGCAAAAGGTTGCAGGAATCTGAAGAAACTTCATATTAGGAGATGTTATGAGGTCTCTCTCTCTCTCTCTCTCTCTCTCTATGATGGAGGTGTTCCTCCACCCTTAATATGCTTCAACCATTACTATTGACTTACCTGGGTTATTCCTGTTCTGCATCAGGAAAATCTTTTTGCCTATTGAGTGGAATAGGGAAAATGTGTGCATCCAGATTTAATGAAATTGCTCCCCCCCTCTCCTTCTTCTCCCTCTCTCTCAATTCTGTCTTATGCATGATTCTTTTCTATTCTATGTAAGATGGCAATTGGGTGGTTTGTTATTTGAAGAATGTAGTTTGAACTTCAAATATTTTGAGAAATGTTTGAAGTAAGAATTTTACAGATGATTTAGTGCTTCATCTTTTGAGTTTCTGTCGTGTGTAGACCTGCTGATTTCTTTTGGATACTCTTTCAGCCATTGCTTTTTCAGTTTCAGCAATTACTAGATGTGATATAAATTTGTAACTTGTATTCTTTTCATTGTCGATAGGTTGGAAACAAGGGAATCATAGCTGTTGGTGAGCATTGTCACTCTCTCACGGATCTTAGTCTTCGATTTTGTGATAGGTGTGTATCATTGTATTTTCCTTCTTAGTTTGTGTGGTAATGTTATTTCTCCATGCTGTTTCATCTTTCATGTTTTCAGCTGTTTGTGATTTTTGTTTTATCTGAAATATGGTGCACCTACTGGTATTTTATCTAAGTTTAGCCTTTTTCTATTAGGGTGCGGGATGAAGCTCTTATTGCCATAGGTCAGGGATGCCCCTTACAACATCTAAATGTCAGTGGCTGCAACCAAATTGGTGATGCTGGAATTTTAGCCATTGCAAGAGGATGCCCTCAACTCACTTACCTAGATGTGAGTGTTCTCCAGGTGTGCTCTCCCCCTCATTCTCCTTGCCTTTGCTTCTCTATGCGCATGTGCTTTTGTTCTACTTGGTTTGCATGTTCTGGTCATTGTGTGGCTCCTTCTGATGCCGTATTCTGATAAAAATATTTTCTTTTCTGAATCTCAACTGAACTTCAATCTGATTGTTATTTACTTTGCTTTGGATTCCTTTTCAATACTTGCTTTGCTTATTGATTCCTCAACGGAAGAATTTGGGGGATATGGCACTGGCCGAGTTAGGAGAAGGTTGTCCCTTACTCAAGGATATAGTGCTGTCACATTGCCACCAAATAACCGACGTCGGTCTTTCCCATCTCGTTAAAAAGTGCCAAATGCTGGAGTCCTGCCACATGGTGTACTGCCCAAGCATAACTGCTGCCGGAGTTGCTACTGTGGTTTCTAGTTGCCCCAACATAAAGAAGGTCCTGGTGGAGAAATGGAAGGTTAGCCCTAGAACCAAAAGAAGAGCCGGTTCGGTCCTCTCCTATCTCTGCGTGGACCTATAGTTAGGACATGGAGTTGTGCATATGAAGCTGTCCACATTTCAAACAGTCTGTCTAATGCCTTGCCTGCTTATTCCCTGTTTGGTGTCACTTTCCATGTATCGGGGTTCTTGTTTTATGCGTTTTCTTTTAATAAACTTGTATATATTTTTAGTGATAGAAATTTTAGCAATAATTTTATGCAATTTTAGATGTTTTTTGATATTGTAAGTTTTGTTCAACACTAAATAAGTATTGGATTTTCTTTTCTTTTTATTTTTTTTCAATTTTAAACTTTTAGCTTGAATTTTTTTAATTATTTTTTCCTTTAATTTTTTCTTTTTCCAATTCTTTGGACATCAAGCAAATGGGATTTGTACTATGGCCAAAAATAAAAAATAATGTGATTTTAATTTGGTAATGAGGGCTCCTGTTTGGTCGCCACCCGGTCGTGATGAAGCAAACGGCGTCCCTTAGTTCGAACAAGAACGGCGTGTTTAGAGAATAAGCAAATCTTGCTTTGTCGATTACTTGTCGACTCGTGATGGTGTAAACGACGTGCCTGAGAATAGGCAAAGCATTGACGGTTTCCAGATTCAAAAGAGCCGCCCTTTT